TTTTGCATCCGTTAATATCTTAAATTTTATTCTCGGCTTCTTGCCCTGCCAGATATATCTTGACATTATTCTTTGCCATTCTTTAAATATTGTCACACCTTTAATTATTGGGATTGTTTGAAACAAAAACAGCATTTTCGGTAACACGCTCATCTTTATCGTTGCAATTCTTCCCCATAATGATAATTTCATTCTTCCCCACACCTCTAAATCACGTTTGATTTTATTCCATATTGGTACATAATTGTTTTGAAACAGATCAATACTCCTGGGAGTTAGCATAATCCCTAAATACTTCACTTTCTTAACCACATTCATCTCTGTTTGTTGCTGTATTCTTTCTATTATCTCTTGATGCATATTCTTAGCAATTATTTTAGTTTTTTGCCTATTTAACTTAAAGCCGGACACCTGACCAAAATGTTCTATCTCTTCTAACACCTCCTTAACACTCTGCATAGGATCTTCTATAGTTATAACCAAGTCATCGGCAAAGGCTTTAACCTTATATTCATTACAACCAACTGTCACACCTTTTATTTTTTCATTGTTTCTTAGTGTTCTTAGGAAGACTTCTAAGACCGAGATGAATAGTAACGGAGATAAAGGACACCCTTGTCTTGTACCCTTAGTAATGGCAATATTTTCTGTTATAACATTGTTAACAATTAGTTTCGCTCTCTGCTCCGTATAGATTGCCTTTATACCACTCATGAAAGATTGACCCATATCCATATATTCCAAATTTTTTAACATAAATTCCCAAGAAATGTTATCAAAGGCCTTCTCTGCATCCACAAATATCAGCATCGCTTGTTTATCCTTCCTGTTTGACAGATACTCTATTATATTAATTACATTTCTTATGTTGTCTTTCATCTGCCTACCAGGAAGGAAACCTGTTTGGTCCTTATGAATCATTTCCTTTAACACCTTTTTCATCCTATTTGCTAAAATATTTGCAAACATTTTATAGTCATTATTCAGTAATGAGATTGGCCTATAATTTTTAACCTGTGTTAAATCAGAGTCTTGTTTGGGAATAAATGTTATGCATGCTTCTTTCCAGGTCTCAGGTATTTCTCCTTCTTTCAAAATATTATTCATTACTTCTTTCGATGGTACAAGTAGGGTGTATTTCATTTCCTTATAGTATCTTGCACTAAATCCATCCGGTCCCGGCGACTTCCCACTCTTCAAATCTTTTATTGCCCTTTGAATTTCTTCTAGCTCTATTGGTTCGTTCAGTTTAATTTTATTACTCTTTGATATTTTTTGAACCTTTTTCTTCATTAAATACTCCTCCATTGTCTTTATATTGAGTTTCTCTTTTCTTTTGTATAAATCTCGATAAAAATCCACAAAGCCTTTCCTTATTCCTTTCGGATTCTCAACCTCTTGGTCTTCTATTTTAATTTTGTTGATTTTATTCTGTTCTTTCCTTTTTTTGATTTGCCATGGCGGATCGCGAAGTGGAAGCAAGTGGGATCTCTTGCTTGCGAGAGTATCCAGCTATCGGGAGAGAAAAGGGGGGTTTGCAAGGGCGCCACAGCCCCCCAAATACTCTTGGAAGGGAATCCAAGAGGCAGGGGTCCCGGCATTGCCAGCTAAATTCTCCCCCGGCCACCAAGTAGCCCCCTTTTTGGAGGTGACGAGTGTGGCGGGGTTGAGACATCGGCAGCGGGAAGCCATTTCTATCTCTCTATAGTGAAGCCCCTAGCTTGCGCACAAAGCGATCTGTTCTCAAACAAAAAGAAAACGAATTGGAACTTTAAAAATTTGATCTAAAAGCTGGATTGGGACTAATTCATGGCGGTAAGGTGGAAAAAAGGAGGTCAGCCTTGCCGGGAATCTTATTTAGACGCAAGAGAAATTCGCGGAGCGGAAAAAACTGTAAGTTACAACAAGCGGGAAGTTTTACCGATATATTAGATGGTTTTTATTTGAAAAGCTTCTCACAAGGATCAGAACTAAGTTACAACTAAGAGGGGAAAAGGATTTGATGAGAAGCATATAAAAACAGTTTGTCGGAGAATCCCTGTGAGTGTTGGGGAGATAATGGGAGACAGCGAGTTGGATTACTTTCACTTTTAAAGAAACTGCGCAATTGAAGTTACGGACTCTAAGGCATTGATTTGGAAAGTTAAAAGATCATTTTGGCTCAAGTAACAAGGAAGAAAGTTTAAGACTGCGGACTTGACACCAACATTTTTTGTTTTAGATGCTGGGATTTTCAAGGACTTTGTGATTATAAAATCCCTTCTTTTTGATGTGGAATACAACCACCCCCTCACTCTTTGGAGTTATAAGTTAAACTACAAAGTGCCATTTTGTTGCCAGTGAAGGAGCTTCTTGTAGCCATTTTGTTGTTACTGAAGAAACTTTCTCTTCCTCTGTGGATATAATTGCAGAGGCTCTAGTTTTTGAAGATACATTTGGATACGATAGTCTGGAAGAAAGAGGTTCCTTTTTATATGGTTTTTCCCTTTTTTTTCTCTCTCTTCCTTCTCCTCGAAACTACCGGTTGGAACTTACAGTCTTCTTTTCTTTTTGTTTTTGAATTCACCGGTTTGAATTTACAGTTTGCACTCTGGGTTTTTCCTTTATTTCATATTTGTATTATCGGATTGAAAATACTGTGATCTCTGCAGGAGGTTGCTTAAAGGGATTTAAGAAAGGGAATGTTCTTTGTTTATTTTGTTTTGAAACTTGCAACCAATTCCAGGGATATAGCCAATCAAGTGGCAAGAAGACTGTTTAGATATATATATACTGAATTTAAGGGTTTTGACTTATCTGCTGCACTTAAAGGAGTATAGCTGAAAATCTGGAAGGAGTATATTTTATAACTTTTATGAACTTTTTATTCTGGTCTAAACTGAGGTTTTGATTAATGAATTAGAAATTGATAAGAGTGATATTGGAAATTGTTTTGAAAATTGAAATTGATTAATTTGTTAACATTCACTCTTTGTTTTGGAAAATAAGATTTCTGGTTATTTTGTATAAGCTAAAAAGGGGAGGAGATGGCTCTTGTGGTCCCTTCCAACTCTACACTTCTATGTCGTATACACAGAAAAAAAGTGAGGGTGCAACACCAGGAGAAAGAAAGAGTTCAAGACAAGAACCAGAGTGTAAAGCAGATATTGTAAGGATGTTTACAGAATTGAAGACAGATATAAAAAGCAGTGAGAAAAATATTGAGAGTAAATTAGGTCAGATGGAAACAAAATTGGAACAAATGGATAATAAAATAGATAAAACTGTTAATGAATTAAAAGATCAAATGAAAGAAATCACTAAAAAGAACACGGAGATTGTTAAAAGAACACAAAACTTAGAAGAAGGAATGAAAAGGACAAAATTAGAAATGAGAGAGGTACGAAAGGAAGAAGAAAAAATTAGGGCGGAAATGTCAGAGGTGAACAGGACGCAAGACGAGCTGTGGGATGCGGTTGCGATGAACGAACTTTGGCAACGGGAAACTAACTTGAGGCTGAGGTCTGTGCCGGAAACCCAGGGAGAAAAAATCAAAGAGAAGTTGACGGCAGAAATTGCCCAATGGTTGGAGATGGAAACAGAAAAAGTGGAGAAAACAATACAAAATGCATTTCGGATTAAAACAAGATCGACTAGAGCTAAGAAATTTCCCGGTGACTGTTTAATTATCTTCAAAGATAGAGAAATGAGAAATTTGATTTTGCAAAAAAACAGGGAGAAACGTTTGAATATTGACGGAAATTATATAATTATTTTTAAAGACGTGCCGTTGAGGCTTTTGAAAAAAAGGGACCAATATAGACAATTGGTGCAAACTTTGAAGAAAAATGAAATCGAATTTAAATGGAAATTTCCAGAAGGAGTGGCATTTGCATACAAAGGGAAGAGGCACAGACTGACAAGATTGGACGAGGTGGATAAATTTTTCAGAAGATACAAAGAACTGACCAGAGAAGGAGAAGAAGCAGAGGCGGCAGAAGCAGGAGGGGATGAAGGAGACTCTGTGGAGCTGGAAGAGGAAGAAGAGCGAAGCAGAAAGGATAAAAGAAGAGGAAGGGGAGAAAAAAGGGGAGAGGAAGAGGAAATTGAAGAAGAACAAGAAGAGGAAGAGAAATAAAAATATAAGAGGAAAATATATTTAATTGGCAGACACTATGGCACTAAAACTATGGACATGGAATGTGAATGGAATTAACGATAAAAAAAAGGAACAAAGTGGGACAATATTTGAAACAAAAGAATTTGGATATCATTTGTTTACAAGAGACTCATGTTAAAAAAACACACAGGAAAATTTTAATTAACAAAAATTAGGAAATGAATTTATTTCATCGGATAAAAGCAAAAAGAGAGGGGTGGTATTGTATATAAAAAACAAATTAGAGGCACAACAACTATTTAAGGATGAAGAAGGTAGGATCATAGCAGTCCAAGTCATTTGGCAAGGTGAAAAACTGATAATTATTGGAGTATATGCACCAAACGGTAGTAAAGCAGAATTTTTCAAAGGTTTTGAGGAAAAATTATTTGAATATGTGGACCAAAAAGTAATAATAATGGGTGACATGAATGGGGTGGTATCAATGGAAATGGATAGACTCCGGGCTAAAGGTAAAACGAAGGAAGGGAAATTACCAAAAACTTTTTTTTGACATGGTGGAAAACTGTAATTTGGTGGACGTATGGAGATTGAGACACCAATTAGAAAAACTTTCTATTCAGATGTCAACCACTCAATGTCAAGAATTGATCAAATATGGGTTTCCGGTGAAATAACCACAAGAATAATAAAGATTGAGATTCAACCTAAAGTTTTATCAAATCATAATGCGGTTAAAGCTATTTTAAAAGGGAAGGAAGAAAAATCATTTTGGTGGAGATTAAATGAAGGTCTTCTAGATGATCAGAAGATAGTGGACGGAGCTCAGAAATGTTTAAAGGACTACTTTGTAAACAATGTTAACAAAGGAACAAAAATGAGTATGGTTTGGGATGCAAGTAAAGCCGTTATGAGAGGATTTTTTATTCAACAAAATGCAATTAAAAACAGAATGAGAGAAAAAGGGGAAAAAGAAATTTTAAGACAAATTATGGAGAATGAAAAAAATTAACTATAAGACCTAAGGATGAGAAGGTGAAGCAAAGTATTAAAATGCTACAGACACAGTTTGCGATGATAATCAACAAAGAAGTAGAATGGAATATAAGAAGGATGAAGCAAAAGAATTTTGAATATGCTAATAAATCAGGGCCTTGGCAGCAAATTCCACTGTCGAACAGCTCTTACTGTCAGGAAGTTCTTCCTAATGTTTAGGTGGAATCTTCTTTCTTGTAGTTTGGATCCATTGCTCCATGTCCGCTTCTCTGGAGCAGCAGAAAACAACCTTTCTCCCTCCTCTATGTGACATCCTTTTATATATTTGAACATGGCTATCATATCACCCCTTAACCTCCTCTTCTCCAGGCTGTTGCTGTTGTTGTTTAGTCGTGTCTGACTCTTCAACTAAATCCAGGCACGGCCAAACTCGGCCCTCTAGATGTTTTGGGACTACAATTCCCATTATCCCTGACCATTGGTCCTGTTAGCTAGGAATGATGGGAGTTGTAGTCCCAAAATATCAGGCGGGCCAAGTCTGGCCACGCCTGATAATTGCATTGAAAGCACAGGGATTTAATCATGCCTAAATTGCTCACTTGGGTTCATTTCATGGCTAACTTTAGCTAAGTCACAGTCCTTTAATAGAACAAATACGATTTTGGATTAACAGGTGCAGTGATGCCTCTGCACATTGAACACTGCTTTTCCTTACACAATTATTCAGAATACAGCATCACTTTTTTGGTGAGCAGTGTTTGTGTCACATGCTCTGTGTATGATCTCTGTTGAGGACTAGTGTAGAAGCAACAGAAATATGATTTGAGGGGAAAATGCTAAAGCCCTGCTTTCCTTAAACGCAAACTCAGCTTTAGCTGAGATTTCTGCATTGCAGGGGGTTGGACTAGATGACCCTCAGGGTCCCTTCCAACTTTACAGCTCTATGATTCTATTATTCCCCTCAACCTGCCTGTGACATTGTATGGCTACCCAGTCTGACAGGTAGATGTAATAGCCAAATTAAAGTTATTAGACAGCAGCCTACTCTTTTTCTTATTTCTTCCTGAAGAACAAATGTATAGGCAGATGTATCGCACAGTGGTTAGAGTGTCTCACTAGGACTGGGGGAAATGGCTTCATATTGCTAACCCTTCATGGCTAAGTGTTTGGGACAGTCACTATTTCTCAGCCTTGCCTGTTCCAGAGATGTGAGGGGAAGAATGGGCAACACATCATGTATGCCCTTCCAAACTCAATGAAAGCAGTGTCTAATACATCCTTAATGTTCATTAAAAATAAAAAATTCAAGTTTGATTTCTCAATACCTTCACCCTGCATCCCAATTAAATATAGGAACTAACCCCGCAAACCTAGATTCCTAGAGAGAATCTAATTGTCAGGAATCAGGTAGAAGTTGCTTCTTTCCCGTCTGCAAGCATGCACAAAATGGCTTAGCTGTTCTTCTACTTATGGAGACTGTGTTATGAATGGTTGGCAGCCTATCCATGCACAAACTAGTGCAAATATTAATTTGGACATTTGCCTGCATGCCAGGGTTTAAAATAGGAACATGGGGGTGGTGAGGGGGTTTGGTGGAGGAAGACATGGAAACCTGACACCACCCACTTCTACAGCTGGCTGGCGCATTAAGGATTACATTGCTTCTCAAACCCCACCTCGCTGATGCACCTGGTGCCTCTTGAGTTATGACCATTTCACATGTAGAAATTTAATAAGGTTAAGACAGACTGTTGTGGAATAAGCTGACACTTGGCTAGGGGCTTAAAGTAGTTTTATATGTGCCCAGGGGATGGGGAAAGTGTCACAGCTGAGACCCAAGGTATGCCAGTAATGATGTAGCTTTGTTGTTTAATTACTCTACAGCAGCCATCAAAGAGTAAGATTAAACCAAGGTCTTAACTCTGTACTACAAATGAAATAAACCTTGTTTTATCATTGCCAACATAGAAATTAACACAAGTGGCTGTGATTATTAGGTGGCCCAATAATTTTTTACTCACATTTGAAATGCAGTTAAAATGAAAATATTTGTTGTTGGGTCTCACATTTTTTGTAAAATTCTGATTTGAATCACAGATCTCCCATGTCCAAGCTGATGATGTTAGGCTCTGTGTTTGATTCAAACTGGAAGTTCTACTTTATGGCTCAGTCTTACAAAATCCCACTTTAGAAAATTCTAAATGAGCTATTTTGCATGGTGCAAGTTAGCTTTTAAGTTCAATGTGGCAAATGCATTTTAGTGGCATTCCTAAAATAGTTTATAAACACATTTTTAAAGGGCACTATTTGTCAACCTCTCTAAATTCAATGGAATCTGTTGCTTCTGACTTTTGCTACCTACTTTGGTAGGAAGAGACATTACCATTACCACATGCGCTTTCCTTCCATTCCTTTGAGCCACAAGGAACTGAGAAGATGCTAAAGGGCACATGCCTATGACAGAGATAATTTAATTACTTATTCATCAGCTGCCTGGCACCTGTCCCTTCAATTAATAAGTTGTAAAGAATGTACTGGCCAATTAAAGTAATTAATGGACATTCTGAAGTTTTCTTGGATAAGAATGGAATATGTTCCAATGAAAAATTTGAAACCATTGAAGAACTGTTAAAAAATTCACTCTATCTCTCAGCCCCAAGGAATTAAAACTGCTCTACATGAAATCAAATTGAACCTCAGATAATATCTTTTTTTGATAAAACTTTATTGTATGGAATACAACATATAGAGAAAATAAATTAAGACTTCAAATTTGTTTTAATGGGGATCTGAACAGATTAAAGAAAGATTTTCCAGCCATTCACTGACCACAGAGATTTATTATCAGATTCGTATTCCCCCGGCCAAGAACATACACTGTTTTCATGGTGGACAATATGGAAAAAAGATAATTGGGCTTAACAGCTGTGGCAATGTAGTCCTCATTTGCCTTGGCAAGTGTTTCTTCTGTGAAGTGTAAAAACTTTGAGATTCAATTGGTGTCTGATGCTGATGGCTTTAAAAAAGGGGGTGATTGGAAGGCATCTATTACAATCCTTTAAGGCTCTAGGATGGTGTTACTGGATGGAACAATAGTTTCCTAGATTTGTAGATCTCAAGTGCCCACTGATCTTGTTCTGTCAAAAAGCAAAGCAAATATCATTAGATTCTGTATTTTATTGTAAGTTGGGGGGGGATGCCTATAACCTGCAATAAATACTTTCTCTCTGAAATAACCCTATGAGTAGGCAGCAATAGTTCCATTTTACAGATATGAAAACTGAGACTGATAACAACTTGTTTCTGGTCAACCATAGCTGACTTGGTATCTTCTGGATCTACTGATGAGACCACATAAGATCCTAAGTGTTTATGTCAGGTTATTTGGAGACCAGAGTGAAATGTATAATATGATTAAAGCCCCAATGCTGCTATTAAGTTATTTTTGTGTGCCTATGATCTATGTTTAAGAATCATAGAGAAATCCTTATCTTAGAGAAAAGTCAGCATTAGACAGGAATTGTGGACACAATCCAGCCCAAGTGAAGCTCTTCTAATGGACTTTAATGAGAGACAGAATTGCTCTAAGTGGGACTGAAACACAATTCACTTGGGCTGGGCCATGCCTTATTTATGTACTTGTTACAGTTGTGTCAAACCCTTGAAAGGGATTAAATGTCACAGGGTCCTTTTTGTATTATAAACCAATGCAGCTCTTTTCAAATTGTCACCCACAGAAATTCAGCTGATACTGGTAGGGATGCTGCCTATAGTAGCTCAGTGCTACTGCTGGCTACATGCAGATAATAAAAGGCACCCACCAGAAACCAGAGCACGTGTACAGAAGGAACTTACCAAACTACGTGTCTTGAGAAATCTGTTTAGACAGACATGATGTGCCTCACAAATGCTGTGGAATAAAACATAATCAATACGTCATGGAAGCAGGGAACTTGAAAAAGACATTGCAGTATCGAGTGCTCCTGCTCAGGACACTCCATCCCAATCCACCTCCCTCTCGGTTTTCTTTTTCCCTTCCCCAAGAGCCAGTCAGCATTCCATACCCACAGAGTGTGCTTGGTCCACATTGGACTATTTGGACTAGGATTCCCCCCCTCCCCGAGGTGTGGGGTTTTTTTGTTTTTTGTTTTGGTACTTCTGCAAACTTTGGGGTTCTCCCTCAACCCGCTGCTACTGCTACTTCCTTCTCATGCAAGGCTGGCATCATTTTAGCTCCTTAAGAACAAGCTCTCAATAGAACTGTGTTCACTGTTAGTATATATAAAAATAAAACAGACATTTCCAGATGTGTCAAAATTATTCTGTACTGAGAGCATATTTCAGTGGAACTGATGAGCCAGTAGTTGAATTGCAACATGAGCTGAACCCCGTGGGTGGTATTTAACTAAGTTTTACTCAGAGTAGACCCATTTAAATTAATGAACACGACTAAGTTAGGTCCATTAATTTAAATGGATCTGCTCTGAGTAAAACTATGAGGTTGCCTTACCCAACATGTGCCCATTCAACTGATTGTTTAGTGTGGTGGCGCCTGTACTTTGAAATTCCCTGCCTATTGAGAGCAAGCAGGTGCCTTCACTGTACTCTTTTTGGTGCCTGCTAAAAACATTCCTGTTTAGACAAGCCTACCCAGATGCTTAGAAAGTTGAGATAAGGTTAATCTGTTTTAGTATTTTAACTTTTGTATGTTTTAAGGTATGGTTGTAAATTAACAATGATTTTACTGTTTTATCTTTTTCTAAACTGCTTTGAGGCTTTTTACAATTGTGGTGTGTAAATTTATGAGAAAGATAATAAAAAAATAAAACTTGACTATCACCTCATTTAATTAGTAGCCCCTGCCACCAGTCAACAAATGACAGCACTGATAAATCCAAAGTGAGATGTGAATTCTCTGATCTCCTGTCTTTCTTGGGATTACTTCTCATACTGTACACTCTTGGGCCCTGTTGCTTCAGTCCCAGCTACCTCACAAAATAATCAGGTTGTCTTTGCACAGGGCCATCTTAAGCATATCCAGCGCCGTGGTGCAAATATCCCTCTGGCACCGCCCCCCCTTCCCCAGAGTTGCCAATCTTTTTTAGGGAGGACAGCGCTGCTGGCTACACGCACAGCTTTGCAGAGCTGGAGGAGGCGGGCAGCGGCTGGAGGGGAAGAGGCGGAGGCTGGACGTGGAGGCTCGTGGCTCAGCTGGCTGCTTCGTGCCGTGGTGGCCATGGCAGGCGGAGGCTCTGGGCATGGTGCTGCTTCAGTGCGGCATGGCGGAGGCAGGCGTCGAGTTGATGCCAGGAGGCGCCACGTCCAGCCGCCGCCTCTTCCCTGGCAGCCTCCAGAACTTGGTGCCCTGCGCCACTAGCCTCTATGGGTAAGACGCTCCTGTCTTTGCCGTTCTTGTAGATAGAGCTGGATGGAGGACCATATTTTGAGATTCCTGTATTGCAGAGGGTTGGGCTAGATGGCCCTCAGGGTCCCTTCCAAGACTTCTATGATTCTATGAGGATCTGCTAATGGTTCAGAGTCCTTTTTTCATGCAATTCCTGATCCCTTTCTGTCATTGCATTTTTTCCAAGCTACGGTAATTGTCCTCCCTCCCCCCCCCTTAACAGTCATTCCAGCTTCCACACTACCCCACGCTCTGGATGCCACACTTGTGGCATTTCTCTCTGATCCCTGCCTGTTGCTTTTCAAGTGAAGCCATGCAGGGATTTCTCCAGCTGCTCTTTGTTTGTTTGTTTGTTTGTTTATATGTTGGACTTATCATGATTGTCAGAGCTGCTTCCAGATCCTAGCTCACAGAGGATCACGCTAGCCAGCGATCATTAAACAAAAGTCTTTATTGAGTTACAGTTTCCATTCTCAAGCTGCTGCGTGCAACTCTACGTCTCATGCTTAGATCGGCGAAGCTCCGTCTGAGTCTCCGCCCCTTGTACACCAACTTAATATCCTAGCCCTGCTCCACCTTTTCCGCCTGACTGTTCTTCTCTGGGTCCCTCTGCCCCCGGGTCTCTTCCTTCCGGGATTCCTCTGACGCTGACGCTGACTCCTTGACTCTTCTCCCTCCTTTCGGCGGGCTTTAGGACCTGGCTCCCTTTCCGGGCTGCCTACTGCGCCACCTTCCTGTGCATTTGAACTTGGCGCGCGCGCCCAACCTTCCACCTTCCGTCTGACCGTTTCTTCGCTCCCCGATGGGGGTGTGGCCACTCCTGACTCGTGCCCTCCCCCCTGTTGTGATTTGTCAGCGCTTGATCCCTGGCGCCCTTCCTCTTCCCTGCTCTCTGGCGGTGACGTTGGTCCCGATTTCCAACTGCTCCCCTCTGAGTCCCCTCTGGCTCTATCTTCCTGGGGTGTCCCCCTAGGCTCCCCCCTTGCCCTGGCCACTGGTGCTCCTTTCTGTGAATCTTCTGATTCACTGGAAAGACTCGGAGATCTCGGGTCGTCGTCATCACTCATCTTTTCTTCTGCCTCCTCCCCCTCGCTCTCTGTTTCCTCCCTTGCCCTTGCCTCTGCTCCTGAACCCCTGACAATGATATACAAAATAAAACCTAATATTTAAACCGTTTTGAGCATTTAGAGCAGCTGCTTCCTTCAAAATGCTATTAAAAGTCAGCATAAGCACAACAACAGCAACAACCCCCAGTGGAGTCACACCATAGTAAGAAGCCTGAGGAATGAAGTCTGCCTGATCTCACACAGGACAGCCATGAGACAACTGTTGAAAGTGCCCAGCAACCTAACCATCTTTGGAGGCAGGCATATTAACAGGGCCTGCAAGGTAGAGCTTTACATTAGGGCAGGTTGAGACAGGTACAGATGAACCCGTCTCCAAACCATTTTGGGCACTCTCAATTGGGCCCAGAAATGCATTGGCAACCAGTGCAACTGATGCAATATTAGTGAAATATGTTCCAAATGCCCGGTTTCCAAGTGACCATGTTTTGTACCAATCAAAGTTACCAGACCATCTTTAAAGGCACCTCTGACATGAAGTGCATTATAGTAGTCTAGTCTAGATGTCACTAGTGCATGAGTAAGTGAGGCAAGCTCTGCTCTCCAAATAGGATCACAGCTGGCATACCAACCTAAACTGACAAAAAGCATCCTTGGCCACTGCTGCAACCTGAGCACCCCCAATTTGCTCTGAGTCCAGGGTCACACTCCCAAACTGCAAACATGGTCCTTTGAGAGGAGCACAGCTTCATCTAAGACCAATGTAAGCCTCTGTCCAAAGTTATGGGTTTCCCTGCCCAATGGATTCAATTTCAGCCTGTTCATTCTCATCCAACCCTGTACAGCCTCCAGTCATTGGTTGAAAAGTTCAACAGCCTGTGGGGAGCTGAGGTAGAGCTGACCAAGTGTCATCTGCAGACTGATGACACTTCAACCCAAACCTACATGAAATCACTGGGAGAAGTCATTGGGAAATGCTGAAAAGCTCAACATCTAATAAATTAATAGCTCAAAAGCATCATGGCTGGTGTGGTAATGATAGGGAGCCTTTCATTCCTTTCATGGAAAGACAGGTGTTCCAGTGCCAGGAGTGTTCCAGTGCCAGGAGCGAAAAGAGAAACTGCTGCTATTCATGCACCATTCTCAGTGCTGAAAGTGGGCGAGGGATGCCATACTTTTCATGTGGCCCCATAAACAATCTCCTTTCTTTTCCGGTGGACATGAGCCTGGGCTAACCATCCCACTTCTTTTCTCTCTCGCTTTGGACACTGGCCACCCGCTTTCCCCTGCAATGAGCTTGTTCGCACTGGGCTGCTGATAAGGGCACACCACAGATTCAGCCCCATCATTTGGGAGGGGGACGTGGCTCAGTGGTAGAGCATCTGCTTTGCATGCAGAAGGTCCTAAGTTCAATCCCCAGCATCTCTTCAGAGCACAAACAGATGTGACATGAGAAATCCATGATCTGATATGCCAACTTAAAAAGGAAAGGCATCTGTGCTTGGGTGAGGGATGGAATACACTAGTGAAATAGTGCTGGAGAGAGGATATTTCTCCCTTTCCTCCTGCACGTTTTCCCCAGCTGAAATTCCCCCAAAGCTACTGGGGAGGAAAACACAGGTACCACTGTTTTATATTGGGTCTCCAGCAAAGCAAAGAAAATAGCAGCTTGGGGTGTGCAATTTACTTGGGAAAACAGCATGGGTGAGGGAAATGTTAAATTCTCCTTCCTCCAGCACCGCTGCCCTCTTCCATTTGACCCCACCCCATGGCTGCTTTCCCCTACTGTATAGTGGAACTTACCCTCGTAGTTGATGCAGCCGTTGGAGTCTTCCTGCCCTTTCATCAGTTCTTCTACTTCTTCTTCCTTCATCTTCTCACCTAAACCACAGAAGATATTTATGGTGGTGATGATGTTATATACAGTCGTATCTTGGTTTTCGAACATCTTGGTACATTTGGCTTCATACATTTTGGCTTCCAAATGCCCCAAACCAGGAAGTAAGTTTTTGAACGTTCCGTTTTCGAACATTTTTAGATGATGAACATCCAACACGGCTTCCTCTTGAGTGCAGGAAACTCCTGCAGCCAGTTGGAAGCTGAGCCTTGGTTTTCGAAAGTCGAATAGACTTCCCGAACAGACTACATTCGAGAAGTAAGGTACGACTATACTGCTTATGTGCCAAAATTGCTTCTAAGCAGTTTACAGATCTAAATATAAGAAAAGCCCTGCTGGATCTGACCAAAGACACATTTAGTTCAGCATCCTGTTCTTACAGAGGCCTATGCTGTGCTGTGGGGTGGGGGGCAAACAAGAGACTGGCTTTGTGTTATGTGTCAGCTATCACTCATGGTGTGTTTCACTCCAAAGAAACCCCAAGCAGTTTGTTCTTAGTTTGTTCTTAGCTTACTGGCTCATGGTTTCTCTCAGATAAACAAACTACGAGTGCTGGTTCACGTGTAACACACAGCTGGCCTCTGGTTTATCTCCTCCCTGGAATGACAACAGCAGGAACAGGGTGGGGGAGAACTGAAGTGGAGACTTCTGAGCAGCATGCACCAGCACACTCCTCGTTCCAATTAAACCATATTTAAACTGTAGATGTACAAACTAGGTCAGTGTATCTGTTCTGATAGCTCTTCATTTCTGACACTAGTGATGTCATGGGACTTGCAGTGTTGTAGCAATCTATGTGGACTTTCAGTCAAGGGTGCAATGTGGTTAGGCAGTCAAAATGCTGACATGCAGAACTCAGGGTGGATCACCTTTGTTTCCTGCTGCTGTGGAAGCAACTTTCTAGATGCTCACAACAGATCCATGACCACACAGGATATCAAAGGAGAGGTACCCCTGCAAAAGGGCATGTTGAATTATTATTCAACTTTCAAATTCCAAATATGATGGATCTAAAAAGTTGTAACATGACTTGGGAATTCAAAAGATATTTTGGTTAAATTAATATACTTAAGTTTTGCTTGGTAAATAAAATGTTTGTAAAATTGCACAGAAATCATTGCAAACAACTGCCAAGTGCTTGGACTTGTAGTTTATATTCTTGTCATCATCTATCTATCTGTCTGTCTATCTATCATCTATCAATCTATCATCATTACCTGAGATTTTCAGAAGGTAAAATTAAAATTATCTAGTTTTTTGAAACCTTCATCAAATCAAATTACCAAGCTGAATGTTGTCTAATCACAAAATAATAGCAAATATAAATTCCTCAAACTCTAAAACATATTTTTAAGACCCTTCACTGAAGAAATTTGCAAAAATTAAGTTTCACCCCCTGTTCCTGCGGTTATATGATTCTCAGTGTCTTTGAAATCTATTTCTTTTTAACCAACCAGGATTTAATGATGCTTTATTGATGTCTGTATGTATGTTTGTATTACCTGCTCTCCATGCTAAGATCCCAGGTGGGCTACATCATTAAAACATAATATAAAAACAACTTAAAACAACTTCCAACCTTAAAAATAAGGTGGGTCCAAAAACATACACCTCAGGTATCAACAGCCATGGTAAAGAGTTACTTTTAATTACACTTTTAGTTATTTTATTATAATCTTGAATGTTTTATATCACATTGTTATACTTCAGGGAAAGTGTGGATTATCCAAATTTATATAAATAGGCCTTTGCTATTAAAAATATCAATTTTATTACATTGGAAATAATAATTGGGCACTAATGCCAATATAGATTTAAAGTGGTTAAAAAGTTAATCTTCTCCAGCTCCAGAAACATTTACTTTATTTTCCTATTTTTATTCCAACCCGTCTCTCAGAGGACTCCAGTGCTTGGTTTAAGGGGGTGGAAAGCCTTGGGATCCCTTACAGAGAATGCTCGGTGCTCTGACCAAAATTCCAGTTCCCAGATTTAATTGAAGAAAGCCAAAGGAATGTAACTTTTATAAAAACAAAACATATCTGTAGTACAGTTAACACAGGATCAGGGGTTCAAGCCCCATGTTGGGCAAAATATTCCTGTATTGCACAGGCTTGGACCAGATGGCCTTTATGGTTCCTTCCAACCCTATGAGAAGAAGAAGAAGAAGAAGAAGAAGAAGAAGAAGAAGAAGAAGAAGAAGAGGCGTTTGGATTTGATATCCCGCCTTTCACTCCCTTTAAGGAGTCTCAAAGCGGCTAACATTCTCCTTTCCCTTCCTCCCCCACAACAAACACTCTGTGAGGTGAGTAGGGCTGAGAGACTTCAAAGAAGTATGACTGGCCCAAGGTCACCCAGCAGCTGCATGTGGAAGAGCGGAGACGCGAACCCGGTTCCCCAGATTACGAGACTACCGCTCTCGACCACTACACCATACTTTTGGAAGCCTTACCCAGAGTGGCCAATACGTGACGGAGTTCAGCACCCATGACGGTCCCATTCCCCTCTTTGTCAAAGACACGCAGACCTTCAACGAAGTCTTCAAAGCCGCCCTGGTCCTTGTTATTGGCTGCTGCTTGCATCATGGGCAGGAACTCTTCAAACCCAATTTTCTTGGCATTCATCTCTACAAGAAAACAACATTATCAACAATGTTCTCAGATATATTTGTGATGCTTTAGGAAGTTCTCCTGAAGTGCTATGCTGTGATTTATATCTGTTTCTCAACCAAAACTATGCTTCCTTTAGAAATTAAATTTCTTCCTTCACAATATGGCACTACTGCCAAAGCTTTCAGGTAGTCATAAAACACTGAAGTCTTTGCTTATTGTTGTACTCATCATCAAGTGATGCTACATACACATAAAGGAGGCAAATCTGTATTCAGTGGAGGGGGACGGTTTTTACAGGAATCATAATTTAAACGGTTTTTACAGGAATCATAATTTAAACGGTTTTTACAGGAATCATAATTTAAAGGAATCGTAATTTAATGGTTGTCCAGCTCCATTTCTAAGGAAACACAAGCACACAGTGGTTGCACTGCTTGTGAAAAAGGATCTGTAGTTTAATTGAACACGCTATTTATTTCATGCATTATCTATTTATTATAGTTTTATAGTGGTGTTTCTAGTGCTGTGTACTATGGCTTTTCGTACAGCACCTTCACACTGGTAAAGCTTGCTAACAGCTTTAAAGGAAAATAAAACAAGGGGCTGTGAGTTAGATATTGTTATGAGTTGTGGGGTGAGGAGTGCCAGACCCATGGGGGCAACCAAGGGGGGATGGGGGAAGCTGCCCCCTGTAAATCAATAAAAAGCAATAAAAATACTTAACTGAGGTTCTGCCTCCCCCAACAAAAGCCTGCCCCCCTAACAAAAACCCTGGCTAGACCCCTCTAATCCTTGGATTCAGCAAGTGTTAAAAGCTAATCAAGACTTCTGATTCCTGGAAATAGTTAAACTAGCTACTGGTGAGGTGATGGGGGCTTAAGGGGCTCAGTACAGACGGCAATTTCAAGTCAGTTTATATAGGTCCCACCAGGCACTAGTCAGATCTTGAACTATTTAATTTCATGAAGTAGCTGTATCATATGTCTTCAGATATGCCCTTGGCACATGCTTGACTCTTTCTCATCAAAGACATCAGGATTTTAATTTGGGTGGGTAGCTGGAAGCTACTAACATGAGTTGGACCAAACTGAGGGAGGCAGTGGAAGACAGGAGTGCCTGGCATGCTCTGGTCTATTCTACGGGTTCACGAAGAGTCGGACACGACTAAACAACAACAACAACAACAACAACAACAAAGCTGGAATAAAACTGTTGAGCTGAAAAAATTACTGTGCACATTCACAAATTCTACAAACTCATGTCCATAATAACCAAATATTAAATGCTTTAATTTTTTAAAAATAAAAATCCCACCCCCACAAATGCTTGTGTGGTCAAGGCTTGTATAAGAGGAAAGCACACTCCATCTTCACTAAAATTAAGGTAGTGGGAAAGGAGAATTTGACTGAACGTTAAGAGGACATATTATGGACCATTTCATCTCAGAGCCATTACCCTCATTGCTGGGGTTGCCCATGATCTTCTTGACCTCAGCATTGGTGGGGTTCTGCCCCAAAGCACGAATGACATCTCCAACCTGGCTTAGGGTGATCTTGCTTTCACCAGTCCTGTCGAAAAGGAGGAAGGCCTCCTTAAAGTCTGCAAGAGGAAAGTGTCAGTGTCACCATAGCCAAACAACTTGCCCATACACTAGTTTGTATCTACTATGGTATAAATATTAATAGGGCCACTTTCTCTGCAACAAAATTCCAGTGGTGTGACATTTGCATAATTTTACTGGTAATAGATTTGGCCCCCTCCCTTGTCCCTTTTTTATGGAAGCAGTGAGCCCCTTTGGTTTACAACCCTGCCCCCAATAAATATTGACTGTTTACCATACCTTATGATGGCTAAGAGAGCCCTGATAAGGTTGATACATTTTAAAATCCTCCATGTGAAACAGCCACATTGCCATAGCCCCATGGAGGAGGAGGTAAGATATGAGCTGGGGCATCTGCTCTGACACCTGATCCCCAGGAAAACTCTGCCTATCTGCTTTCACCCCACTTTTGAGAGAGAGAGATTGCCTGAGTGGAGTCTCCACAGAAGGAAGCACTGGTGTGGATCTCTCACCTTTTTTGGTTACTCTCCTCTGCGGCTGAAGCAACGGGGCTGTGTCACATGTAGGAGCTTTTATCGTAACTGCCTGCATGCATATAGATGTTATATATGTATATAGTTTTAATTAATAAATAAAAAAGGTAAAGGGATCCCTGACCATTACGTCCAGTCGTGGCCGTCTCTAGGATTGCGGAGCTCATCTCACTTTATTGGTCCGAGGGAGCCGGCATACAGCTTCCGGGTCATGTGGCCAGCATGACTAAGCCGCTTCTGGCGAACCAGAGCAGCACACGGAAACGCCGTTTAATTAATATCCATATTTAATTATTAATTAATATTAATTAATTAATATCCATGTTTAATTGTCTTTCCTGTGTTTTTAATGGTTCTTATTTTTATCTGTAAGAGGCCTTGAGTCCCATTACAAGAAAAGGGAGGGGTATAAATCAATATCTCACCATCATTGCTATCATCATATAAAGCAAGGCAGAACCTTGCAATTATGGTTACAGTGGGCCATTGCAGACAGCCAAAAAGTTCAGCAAATGGAAAAAGGATCTGACACAACTAGCAGCTGAAAATAGCAAGCATTGTGTCTTGACAGTAAAAGTACTTTGAGAGGCATAGAAGCGAAGCTGTATGAATAATGTGGGAAGGCAAGCAGGTCCTACAGAAAGGCAAGACAGCATGAATAGGTGTGTCTTTGGAGGGGTTTAAAGTTTTCACCTTCTACACTGCATTTATAAGGCTGTTAAGAACCCAGAGTGTCACCTAACTGCAGTCGCCACAGAGCAGTTTTGAAATTTCTTCTAGACCAATTTGGAATTTGTTCTGAAGCCACATCATGCCTGGCAAAGCGTAAATTTCTGCTTTATATAGAACCTTGCTTCTTCCGTCTTTCGTAAGCCACGGGGCAAATTATGCAGCCTCCATTCATTTTCTCCTGGGTGCTTGTGAAGCTGTACTATTTTGGTGCTCCCTCTTGCCCTCCTTATACTGCCTCAAGAAGTTCCCTAGCCCTCTCCTGAACCGCTGAGGCAGGACGTGCGGTTGCTAGTCTGTAACCCAATATATCTGATATTAATCCCCTCACTGTCTGATGCGTTGAGACCTGCAAGGCACTTCAATAGCTAGCCCTCTCCCATTACAGCTCATAAAGTTCTGGCCTTTTAGAATTGAAGAGACGAGACGGCTACATGCTCCCAGGCTCACATTTGATATTTCCTCAGTGGCTACAAACAACAGAACTTCACTCATTTACACCAATGGAAGATCTCATCACCAACTCATCACCATTTTTATTCTTCTTTTTAAAAGACTACCCACTTTCGGGAATGTAAAATGCAAATTCCTCATTTTCAGCTGCTGCAAACAGCAGTCAGTTTTCCATGTATACTGGTGGGAAACAGGTTACAGTGTGATTCTGAACAATATTGGCTCAGCTTTTAAGCCTGGTTTAACATTTTTAACGGTAATAATAGGCTCAGTAAAGTATGCTTCAAGCACGTTCTTCTGTCCCTCAGATTCTTTTTGCTCTGTATTTTGGATCAGTGTATTTGCAGCCCAAGAACAGATGGGCATTGCTGAAACAATTGGAAGGCCAGAGATGTTTCCTTTCTTTATAGGCACGCATTGTGACTGAAATTCTTTCCTCTCCCCTCCATGCAAGATCTCAATAGGTTTAAAAATATGTTTTTGCAGTAGGCAGAATGTGAAGCTAAGTCCACAGATGTGTGTGGGTGCTTAAAGACACAGCTGGGATTCTGATTTTACCCCCCTTCATGTTGCACAGTGCAATAATTTATTTATTAACCCAGAAGTAAAAATTTTATTTTAGGGTTCTTCCACGTCTTCTTTAACTGGCTAGGTGTTTGTCAACTTTTTAATAAGCCAAAAAATTGATATTAAGTGGGGGCAGCTTTTATTTTATAGCAGTTTAATATGACTAAAGAAAGTGTTTCAACTGTTAAAAGTGTTCTTACTAAATGTTGGCCAGCTCTTTTGTTTTGAAATACTTTGGTTTTGACTAATTTAAAATTAATCTAGCAAATTAATCAATCTATGGTCACCTTAACGAGCAACTCCAAGAATACCCTTTAATCTGGAATGTATTGCTTGTGAAAGTTGTTAATGCAGAGTGTGAAGCTGGAGAGAGAGCTTTTTAAATCAAAGGTACATTCTAGGCAAGGTTGGTTTTTCATTCAGTTTATAGGTCTAAGAAATGTTAAAAAACAATAGGTACTCACTACAGCAAGGGCATATCAAATCAAGTTAAAGAAATCTTGCCATTTGATGGTTTCATTTAGAATCCCCATGTTACAGTGAACATCCAGATTTTACTGAATGTTGCCATTTAAATGTGAATGTTGGAAATCCAGAGGAATTTTGTGAATACCTGAAAACAGATATATATCCCCCACCCCACCAGGCTCTTTGTAGATATACCAGTGAATATCTGGGGCATTCTGCATCATATACTCATATCTTAAATCACATAATGCAAGCCAATTATTTGACAAAAAAAATCCAAAGCGTTGTAGTATATTGATCCTACATATGAGTGGTAGCATATCAACATGCCATTCAACTGCTGTGACATTGCATTAAAATGGATGATAGGCAAGAAGCCTTATAATGCTACTACTATAAGGCTGTAATTCTAGCCTCATTTACTTGGGAGTAACCACCATTGAATTCAATAGGATTTAGTTCTGAGTAGAGAAGATTAGGGCTGTGATGTTAGTGATAAAGGTGTCTTGCTTTTAATTTTAATTGAATAATAAAAGACTTACATAAATTGGGATCAAATAAAACTATCTTACAGAAGTAATATTTTAGGATATTTAATTGATAAAGGGGTATTTGTTTCTTTTGTCTGACAAAGACACACAGACTGATTTTTTGTGGGGGTAGGAACATTAATTTACTGGAATTATGAAATGTATACAACAGGCTGATTACAATAAATAAATAAATAAATAAATAAGCCCCAAATTCCCTTTAATTCATGACACTCATATTACATAGAATATTCTTAGTTAAATTGATTTAGCTCTGCCCCACTCCAGCAATACAGCTTGATAATCCCTTAGCATTTCCTAGGAGTCATAATCATACATGCATTGGCTGGACAGTCATGAATCCTTCATTTATTTATTTATCAATATGCAACATTTATAGATTTTTGTTTCTGTGCTTTCTTCCTTACTAATGGCTTTAAACCTCATTCTCTCATTACTGCCTTACCAGCTCTCTGAAGAGCTATGTGCCAGAAGGAGAAGGCAGCACTCTCTTGGGATCTGTGCTTCAAGGCAGTCAACAGCAAAACATAAAACATCTAAAGAAGTGACTTGGAATCTGTGGCCTGATCTTTAAGTGGTGGAAGTCTACATGACTGAAGTCAATTTAGCTTCACTGGTTATACCAGCGGGCATATTCCAATGATATTAAAATACCTCTCTCTATGTTTACTGGCTCTCCTCAAAAACTTACCATCCTGTTGTTCCTTGGAGAACTCGATCTGTTAGAAAAAAAATCAATCACAAAAAGCCCCTTTTTTAAAAAAAGAGAAAGACTTGTTGGACTTGACAGCATCCAGCTTGCTCCTTGAAACATCTTCCCAAGATGCAAAGAAAAGGATTTTGTCCGATTTTTCAAGTGTAGCTGAGATGCCACCAGGTTGCTAATGGAACAATGCCTACTTAAGCTAATGAGTATCCAGTATTTGATGTTCCGTGCAATGAATCACATCAACACGCAGGGAATTGAATTTATGTTCCACTTACCAGCAATCTGATCAGCGCTGAAGGACTGCATTTGGCAAAAGAGAGAGGAAAGTAAAAAGCTAGTACTCTTGGAGGGAAAATTGCATTGACAGACAAAAGTTATACATATCCTATAGTGTGTTTATGTGAACTAATTTGGCCACAAATGTATTTTATGTATTCCATTATTTGAAATCTTTCCAGGCCACCTTTCAGGGCAAAGCCCTACAAAAGCAGTTTATGTTAGAAAAATAATAATAATAAAAGCAGATAATGTCATGTAAGTATTTGAAGTCCATTATAGTATCTTCCTGCACACAATCAGAAGCACAGATATATACAGTATGAGCTAAATATCCTAATCCTTTTTAGAGGAACATATTATTGCATTACAGTAAAGAACATAATGTAAATCGAAAATATCATTGTGCAATAAATACTACATTCAAAAGAACTAATAAAACAGAAGGTTTAAGACCCATATGTTCTTTAAGCCTTTATTTTAAAAACATGCCATTTTGTTACTGTTCATAGGCAGGTTGTGCATCTGGATTCTACTGCACATATATTTCAGCAAACATGAATTACAGGCAATTGATAACAACAACCTGCTATAAAAGACAGGAAACATGCGAGCTATTACATAAGACAAGATTTCCCAAATAATCCCAGTAATTTCACATTAACAATAAGAATAGATGCACACACTCCTGCATGATTTTGGTAGGACACTATATTGGTTCTCTACTCCCTTATGCTATGCATTAATTACACACTTGAAAATGACAATGTTAGATCAAACCACTGGCTCACTATGCAGAACTAATTTTCTCCTGCACCCACCATGATTGCGAAAGTTGGAAGGGAAGAGGAGGAGGCAAGGCTGGAAGCTGCCTGAATCCCTGAGAGTGGTCCTTACTCCCTGGCCTTATTTCTTCTTATTTAACATAAGCCAGTGACATCATGGGCAGGATTAAGTGTCAGAGAGTAGTGGCCACGCCCCCTAGGGGAGTTCTTTAACTTTCTTAGGGCAAAGTCAAAGAAGGATCCATTTCTTGATGGCCCTCTCGTAGGCACTATTTTTAGGAGGGTGAAGAGCAGGCAGGGAGCTGCTGCTTGCTTTCCTGAGTTTGAATCCTGTCAGCACTTTTTCACTCTGCAGCGTAAAGATGGAATATTCCTTATGTAGTCTTCCTCAAAAAAGGCTTATCGCTTATGGACGCCTGTTCATATTGAGCCAGCTATTGAGCCAGCTGGTGGGACAGTGGACCTCTCAAGGGTTTCTCCAGCTGGCTGCCTTAAGCATTTTCAGCTAGGTCTGATACCTTTGGTATTGAGAACGACATTTTCTAGCCAGCGAATTTAAGAAGCTTAATCCCAAATTATTACACACCAGGGAAACCACCCCTCCTGCTTTCAGTCAGCATAGTTCACTTGCCAGTTAAGGCAGAGAGTTGGGCAGGTTTACTTGGAAGTAAGATCCACTATGTTAAGGGAACGTTACTCCCAGGTTAAGTTCACAAAGGAAATGATTAAAGACCCAAGAAAAAGTAGGAGGTTTTATTATAAATTTGGCTTGATTCATGCATTAATTTTGAACATGGTAAAGCCACTGTTAAGACGATTTTACCATATCAGTTTTGAGTGGTGAGTCTATATTGTCTCCTATGTAATGTGGCATTTTACTAAGACAGAGCAAACTTTAGCCTTCAATAGTTCAATCTGGCATAGTGAATTCCACATCAAACAAACATTCAGAAAACATTCTCCTGTGTAGAGCTGATGGGATGATTTTACCATGAGCTCAGTGATTTTACAACATCCATGAGCAATATGTGAATTGGACCTTAGGGGTGTAAAATTAGATTCAAATAGTTTGACTTAGCCAACCAATGGCTTGATAGCCTTAAGAACAAAACTGAACAGCTTGGTGGTTGCCTGAAGTCAAATATGTAATCTGAATTACTTCTAGCATTTAAAGTATGTATGATTCATAAGATTCTGTATTTTTAGATTTTGTGAATCGCGATAAAATGTAGCTCATGTAGGTTTTGGAAAAATGATATGCTTCTGGTTTATGACAGGCAGGAGAGGGTTCCCATCATTATAATAAAAAGCTGGTAGCATATTCAGAGACAGGAGTTTGGAATACGACCATTTCCCTCACTACATTTACAGGTTTATTTGCAATCCCTGTAACATTGCCCTTGCCCTTTTTTGACATTTCTAGTAGCTACAAAATACAAAACTTGCATATCTAACTTGCATATTAAAGTGTGGGTACGGAGACCACATTTTAAATATATTTCGCTTTTATGCAGTTTTGTTTATGTTCAACAGTTTAAACCTGTGTCTCAGGTTTGATTCTGGTTCAGGTAAAAAAAGGAGAGTAATTTACCTTGTTTGAAAATTAATTGATAATTACCACAGTTTTAGAGGTAACAGAATGGGACTCAAAATTGCTTCCAGAATGAGCTAAAAAGGACTCTGGAGTTCCCCTTGGACATAATGAAATGTGAAGCTTGCTGTGGGAAAAATCCTAATTCCTTTTCACTGGCTAAACAAGTAATTGCCATGCTATCATTATTTCCAATTATATTTAATAATTTGTAACTAATAAAGTTCTACATCTACAGTCCCTAATTAACAGGTGAAGAGCAGCATCTGGAGTAGGGCATTCAGTTCCTATGCCAAATCTATTATCAGGAGGTATTTTTTCCTTGTTGAGCCGCAAGACCAAGATCGGTCATTCTCCAGGGCATGGTTACATTTCCAATAAACTCACCCCATAGAAACTTTCAGACTATGAGATTCATGAATGAATCCCATGTAAATTTGGGTTAAAGGCAGGAGTGGGGCCACACCAGCGCTATAGATGGCATCCTACAAGCAAGGAGAATGCACATCCAGCCCCACAAACCAGGCCATTTTTGCACTTCTGTTGCTGTGGGTAAGAAAGGATTTTTCTATTTGAAAGGGAGGATGAAACTTCATGAGTGAAGTTGTTTCCCAGCTGTAACAGTAGAAATTCTTAGATACAGCTAAATTGGCATTATGGGATTGGCTTGCTTATAGACTATAGATTGCTGAGTAGATCCACCCAATGGGACTTACCCACCTGTAAACCCACCTGCAGAATTACAGCCCAAATCACTTTGAAAATGATCAGGGTTGACCTGTCAGTTCTTCAGAGGTAATACTGGTTTAGACAGGATGAGGCCTTGATTGGTGCGTAAGAAGAAAGCTGGGGAATCTTACATGAGTTGTATTCCTCAGCAGTACAGAGTCTGCGTGTGTTGAGGCTGAAGCAAAATGGATTCTCTACAGATCCCTTTGCCTTTGAGCCTTCTGGGTTTGGTTTGGTTTGGTTTTGACAATGTACTATTCAGCAGAATGCAGGTGGGGCCCTTTAAGAGGTATTCAGTTTTGCTAGCCTCTCCTCCTCAAGACAAATCCTGCTTGGGTGCTTTTGAAAGATGCCATGGGGACCTGGGCTGGCACCTGAGGTGAGCCACAAAATGCTGGGGAAGAAGAGGGGAGTGAGCCAGGATGAAGTGATATGGGAATTATTATTCACTGTCCAATGAATTTATATTCTGTTTATGGAAAAAAGCCTCTAGCTGGCTCACAAGTAAAAAAAACACACAGAATCATAAATCCAGGTTGTTTAAAATACATGGGCCAAGTAGCAAATGGGATAAACAACAAAACAAAGCTATTGGAATCAATAAGAAATTGATAAGCTTTACTGAAGTTACTCAATAGGCAATATTAACCACTGACTCTGAGCATATATGAAGCTATAATATGTCAAAACTATTAATATTGCTGAAATTGAGGTTAAGAAAAAGTATTTGGCTGGTGCCCCAAGGATTGCACAGTGGTACCTCGGGTTACATACGCTTCAGGTTACATACTCCGCTAACCCAGAAATAGTACCTCGGGTTAAGAACTTTGCTTCAGGATGAGAACAGAAATTGCATGGCGGCAGCGGGAGGCCCCATTAGCTAAAGTGGTACCTCAGGTTAAGAACAGTTTCAGGTTAAGAACGGACCTCCAGAACGAATTAAGTTCTTAACCAGAGGTACAACTGTATAAGGTTACCAGATGTCCCCATTTACCGGGGACAGTCCCTGGATTTACAAATCAGTCCCCTGACAAAATCCTGAATCCTTGGATTCATTGAAAAAAATCTGGTAACCTTAGCATAGTAGGCACCAGGTGGGCTTCCCTGAGGAGGGCATTCCAAAGGCAGGGGGGAAAGCCCCTGTCTCTCCTCTGTAGGGAGGTTTTCCATAAGCCCCAGGTGAAAACCAGCACATGATTGAATAATGTGGTTTCCCTCACTGCTTCTAGTTAGGTGCTAATCAGGAGTGAGAGAAGAATTGCTGTCTCCATGTTGAGCCATGCATGGGAATAAGAAATAATGACCATTTGGAGTGGCAGATGAATTATTAGCAAGAGTTCCTGTCTTATAGTGTTACTTCTGACTGAGGAGTGTGAGTGAAAAACAACATCTCAACATTATCCTGCTATACATAGAAATTGGAAACAAACGTGAAAAGAAATAGGGTGTAGTTTTTGTCTTTGGTAGGAGGAAATTGTCATTTCCCAGGACTACTTTCAATTTTACTAGGTGACCCTCAGGGTCCCATCCAATAGTACAGTTTTCAAAATATATAAAGAGAAATGGCTATGGATATGTCTTTGTAATGTCTGAAAGTCCATAGCTGGGTTGTCACCTTTGTTATGGGCAGTCTTAATAACTACAGAATGGGCCAAACTCAGAAGATGAAGCTTTTCTTGGATGGAGGTGTGGTGATACAGGAAAGTTGTACCACCAGCAGATTGCTGTCTGCCATGCAACTGCTCAAAGCCCATAAAAAAGTGAGGCGGGTGGGTGGCAAATGTGTGAAGTGTGAGGAAGGATCTAGAAGCTTTACCAGCATTTGTTATTGGTAAATAACATTCTAGAATTCTGACACTTTTGCAAGTGATGAGTCAGACTTGGTTACGCACTATACCTTTAAAGCACATTCTTTACCTCAGAGAATTCTGGGCTCTGTAGTTTGTTATGGGGTGATGGGAACTCTAACTCTGTGTGGGGTGCCCAGAATTCTCTGAGGGGCAAAATGTGGTCTAAAGGTGTTTGCAGCCCAATATGCCTTAACTGACATATTGGTCAGATCAGTGGTCTGATCACATTAAATTAAACGGTCAACATTACTACAACCATGGATATCATATAATAATAATACTGGGCTGTGACACTTCAAACAGTGGTTATCTCTCTCCCCCCCCTTCTTTAATCAGCTTGCCTGGGCTGCCTCCTGTTCCTCATGCTGCAGTTGGCATGGCTGCCTAGTGGTGCACACTGCAGAGCATGATGGCACCTTACGTTTTTATGCATATAGAAAGACAGTGAAATCCTACCATACAATACTGTATTTGGTAAGATGTTCTGTCTAGCAAGCATGTTTAGGATTACAGCCTTAATCCTTTTTGTGTAACAGATTTTGTCACTGTTGAATCTAACCGTAAATGCTATTTTCATCCCATCCCAGCTGTGAAAACACACATCTGGGTCTAGTCTCTGCACAAGCATGCAAAAGAATGCAGTGATACTGTGCCACTTCAGGTTGCAGGTGCAGGGGCTGACATAATTAAAAAAATAAAAAAAATCCACGCAAGTAACAACAATCCTGTGTATGTTTATTTGGAAGCAAATCTTGTTGATTTTAATGCAACTTACTTTCAAGTGAATGTGAACAGAATTGCAGGCTTGGCCTATTCTGAAACTGTTGTTTATTCACACCACTTTATCTTCAGCATAACCCAATTCACTTGTACAGTGGTGCCCCGCAAGACGAATGCCTCGCAAGACGGAAAAACCGCTAGACGAAAGGGTTTTCCGTTTTGAAGTTGCTTCGCAGGACGAATTCCCCTATGGGCTTGCTTCGCAAGACGAAAATACCTTGCGAGTCTAGAGATTTTTTTTTCGCTTTTCCCCCCCTTTATCTAATCTGCTAAGCCTTTAATAGCCTTTAATAGCCTTTTAGCAGCACATCCCCTAAGCCATTAAGCCATTTATCGCCGCTAACCCGCTAATAGCGCTAATAGCGCTAATCCGTCAATGGGCTTGCTTCGCAAGACGAAAAAACCGCTAGACGAAGACTCTCGTGGAACGGATTAATTTCGTCTTGCGAGGCACCACTGTATATACAATGCTCACCTAAATACGAGAGGATCTGATACTAAGAATCTGGGGCCCTGATCCATAGCTCTCACCTAAAATGTGATGTGTGTGTGTCACCTATATGGACAACTCTAAAAAGCCTCAGTCTACATTTATGTGGTGAAAATATGGGAATGAAATTCGCCATTAACGTGTTTCTTTGGTGTGGAATTTAGAAATGGAAGTAACAAGGGCTAATTGTATACGTTTTTACGTAGCTTTAGGAGTAATGATTCTTTAAGAATAGAACCACCACCACATCTTAGCACTTCCATTTTCTTCACAACTAATCTTCTAATCAGCACGGTAGAAGATGAAGAAACACAGTGCTATTGACATTTACAGTGAGTTCCAAGGGACCTGTCTCCTTTGAGGTGCTTCCAGTGGCCATGTTGAGGTATTAATATCATTAGGGTTGGTGCTATTTGCCAAAATATGTAACTTCTTTCTGTAAACGGCAAGCGTGCCAAATATATATTCAAGGAGCATATTTAAAGCCCACTCTTTAATATCTCTTGATATATGACACCCCTTTGATAGTCATTATCCAAATGTACAGTCTTGTTTCTTCAACATCTTGATTTTTCAATATCAGAAAATTAAATTTGTATTCTTGGCCAGATTAATTCAACTCTAGGGTAAGAAGAGTTCTTGACCTTTTAGATGCCAAGGCACAATTAATTATTTTGCCTATGGCACCTCAAGCAGCATCCAAGCAGCAGCAGTGGGATGTTTTCTCATCGTTGCCATAAAAAGGTATGTCCTCTGTAGGAACAACATAAAGGTTCACACTGTTGCTCACAGATACTGGGCTGGTCAGTGGTGGGGAAGGTTGTGGGTATGGATTAAAAGAAGACCCCTCTCTTTGCTGAATGAAGACACACATGACTGACTTAAAAGTAAACGCCATGGCTCGGTTGCTACTGTACCGCCAGCACAAGGATTTAGGATTACCTGGCCATCTCACATGGAATAGCTTATCCAAAAGTTACTACAGGTACATAGAGTCCTATCTGTGAGGAAGTGATTTTCAGTAGCAACCATTACCTTTGCATTAACATTTAAATATTCTAATAACCATGCCATTTGAGCATCACATAATACAAATTTGGAATTTAGGGTGGATATGGGTGTGAATGCTACTTGTGCTGTATCTTCTAACACTCATCACTTTGGTGATTCAGCCCATCAGCTGAGTTTTTAATATACAGAAATTTCTCCTTATTTCCCCCTTATTGGGAGCAGTAATTTTGTGTTTAATAATACAAATTTGGGCATGGCAGGAACCGAGTCAAGAACTTTTAGTACTAAGAAGAATATGAATCGCTATTTAGTCCAGGACACTGAATCAGGACCCTACATGTATAAAGCAATCCTGGTAAGATCCCTGTCCAGCCTTGTCTTAAATCTTCCTCATTGGAGGGTAATATCATGCCAGCACTTTTTTGAGCTTGTTGCTTCATGCATATTCTGAATAGATATGCAAAACTCTTCTTAATGATGTACTTTTTGACATTCAAAAACCACAAGTATTCAAGCAGCACTGAAGCAAAAAAACTTATACAATCAATTTAGTTAACTGGCATGTATGTTTTACAGGCAGAGGCAATGGAATAATAGAATTATAGCTACTTCCTATGGTGTCCAACCTTAGGATGGATTCATTAAGGTAGGGAAATCCTCTTTGCCAGGGGTAGCCAATGTGGTGCCTTCCCGATGTTGCTGGAATACAACTCCAGTCATCCCTAACCATTGCCCATGTTGGCTGGGTCTGATGGGAATTTCCATCCAAAAACATCTGGAGGGCACCACATAGCCCACTTTTGTCCAGCACAACCACCTGCCACTTAAGCATAGATTTATAGGAAATTCCATTATTTAACCCATCAGGATAGTAAGTTTAGGCAATGGTTATGCTCTTGTAGGACCAGGAAGACTTAATGGTCTAATGAATCCCTTCCAACTTTATACTTCTGTCTAACAGGAGAGAAATGGCTTCCAACCCTCAGAGACCACTTGGACCAGCCTTGGGTATAGTGGCAGGTCAATAGATCTTACCCACATAGGACTTCCTTCACAGATGCGAAGTAGAGAGAAATTGTGTCTGTCATTTGTCCTTGTGCAAAGCAATGCAGCAGTATGTATGGTATTGATGCTGTTATCAATTGTAAATCTAACACTATACAAGACTTTAATTGCAGATTCTTTGGTTGTGTGAGCATACCTGCTATCAGGCCTTAGCATAATGGGGGTTTGAGGGTTGAAGATACATGGTTTGTTTTAATAAACTTTTCTTTTTCCTCTTTTTTTGATACAAATAGGAGTTTCACACTACTGTGAGTTGTCTGTCAAGGCAATTTATCTGTTTACCTTCTCTCCTTATACCACTTGTAGTGTTCATTCAGCGACGACCTGGTTGAGTAGTAATTGTGAAAGCCATTGAAGAAAATGGTCAAAATATGCAAAAATTCATATATACAATGGCATGCACATGCACAGTCACACATCAGCACTTAGCACATTGTATGACTCTATGCAAGACAATGCTCATTTGCCTTCTGCTTTCTCCTTTTATAGTTCCCTGTTTAAGAACTGTTGGATCCAGCCAAGCAAAAGTTAGTTCCAGTATAGCAATGCAATTCTATCTACACTTGTATGGGAACAAGACCCACTGTATTGTCTACACAAAGGTAAGGTTGACTGAAGTATGGGTATTTATTCACTCAGAAGTCATTGTGCATAAGACTGTGGTCTTAGTCACGACTAACTTAACAGTGCAATCCAATATATGTGCATTCAAACAATTTCTGCCATACTTTCAATGTCTGCTTGTCTGAATATCCTGAAATGCTGGTGAGCTTTTTACAGGATTTGTGCCCATTGCTCTTACTGTGCTGTATATGCTACTTATTATTAACAGTCTACACTACTCTGCAGTCCCCTCATTCCAGACATTTTATTTCATGCACTGCAATCTGTGGCCCTACTCAAAGTCGGCCACAGGATGGCAGAGCTCAGCCAGGAGTCGAGATGGGCATGCAGGCAGCCCTCTGAGCTTCAACCTAAGACCTGGAGGAGGAGGAACTATCCTTCGTAGAACTTTGGACTGCCAAAGTAAGAGTCCTTAAACACGCAGCCTTTCACTCCTGTGAAAGAAACATGTATGCCAATACTATTTTATAAGCCTAGAGCAATACCCCTATAGGCCACAATCCAGAATCTGATATTTGGTTCAGCTATAACCTCCGCTGTAGAGAGCATTTGTATGATGTCAGACCTTGCTCTTCCAGAGTCCTACATTGCACAGGAAACCTCTTTGAGTAGAGAAGGCTCTTCACTGCAGACAACGGAGGCTGCTTTACTGGGGCAAATGGAGCACAGCCCCACAAAACTGTTTTCCCTCACAGCCCCCACCTGCCTCCCTTCCAATTTACAACCAGTCACGTGTTAGTTCTGTCTGTCATTGAATACGTTATTAGAAGGTAGGGTGGAGGAGCAAGTCCACTGTCAGGGATTGCTGTCATTGGACTCCCTGCTTATAGGAGCCTCCCGAAACTCCTGCTGCGTGCTGGTGGCAGCAGCTGTTGCCCTTCTGCATGGGGCCAGCACCAACTCCCCCACCTGTTCTTTCCTTCTAAATCTGACAGCAGTGGCAAAAAAGAGGATCAGCTACTGCCGCCCCCAGCATCTGGAGCATCCCTACAGGCTCTCTCTTGGTCTAATGCAGGGTTTCCCAAACTTGGGTCTCCAGCTGTCTTCGAACTACAGTTCCCATAATCCCTGACCACTATTCCTGCTAGCTAGGGATGATAGGAGTTGTAGTCCAAAAACAGCTGGAGACCCAAGTTTGAAAAACCCTGGTCTAATGTGATGGCCCTGGTAAGCCACTTCTGCCCCTTTTTGCCACCAGCATTTGCTACAGAGGGAGGGAAGCAGTAAGTGAGCAGAAGTGACCAAGTGGTGACAGCGGCAAGCAGGAGCAGCTTGACGTTATCCTACAGGAAGGCTCAGTATGTTGTTTCAGACGTCCATTCTGACAATGCTGCTCTTTCAGCATACAGTATTAGAGGAGAGATCTGGTTTTCTATGAAAGTTGATTACAGTGGTACCTTGGTTTAAGAACAGCTTAGTTTATGAACAACTTGGATTAAGAATGCTGCTAACCCGGAAGTAGGTGTTTTGGGTTGTGAACTTTGCTTTTGAAGCAGAACATGTTTCGCTTCCTGTTGCATGTGTTCCATTTGTAAATTGAGTCCACCACTGCTGTGGGAAAGCACTCCTTGGTTTAAGAACGGACTTCCAGAATGGATTAAATTCGTAAACCAAGGTACCACTTTACTTCCCATTTTTGCTTTCCATGGATGTTTGCTTTCCTGAACTTTGGGTGTCTGGGGGAGAGGTGAACGTCTCCTACAGTGTCCATCCCTGCTTGCAGCCTCCAGAGCACCTCCTCTGATACCTCACACCCCTACCAAAGAAGCCGAACCCTCTCAAACCCCCATACCAGGTTCCAGAGAAAGGCCAGACTGGGGACAACTTAGATTGGCATGTGAAGGTGACCTGTTGTCTAGGCATCCCTTGCTGAGTCCTGATGTGAGGGTGGGGTGGCTTGGGTGGGACTAAGGGAAATCTGCAGTACACACTTTCCTGATACGACTCACTCATTGTTGCTTTCTTTGAAACAGAAATTAGGTGTATGTGATCAGCAGAGCTCTGACACCAAACCCACATAGATGTACATGTGTATTCTGCTAACACAATTTTGCCTATTCTTCTAAAGGACAGGGCAGGCAGAGGGAAGGAGACTCCTCTTCCTCTGCCCCCCCCTTTAAGATGCAGGTGGGCAGCATGCACCTTTAGGGCCATATGCACTCACAGCCCAAATTTGTATTACACTTGGCCTAATTTCATGTGAGGGGTAGGCAGAGGTGTACATGGGGTTGACCAGGTTGGGCCCCACCAAGGGCACAGGACTGGTGTGTGTGCATACAAAAATTGTGCCTCTCCACTCTGGCTCAGAGTGGCTACCTGTCTGTGTGCTCCCTGAGCTGCTCTGGGTGGCCAGGCAAGACGTGCAAGCTCCTCTGGGTGCATCGTCTGAGGAATCCTGTCACTGGTGTGGGCCGTCGCTGCAGCCCTAAGGGGCTCCCTCCCCAGTCGGCAGGCAGCAGAAAGGCAGGCAGGCAGACTAGAGGAGGAGAGGCGGAGCCAAGCCAATGGTGATGGAGGAAATCTCTGGTGGAATGCAAAAGGCAACAAAAAGCAAACTTTTTGGGTTTCTGGTTTACAGTCTCTTTGGAGGTGCCAACATTGCTCCTTGCCAAGGGAGCAAGGGACTGGGGTGGGGTGCGGGGCTGATTATCTTCTTGCCAAGGGTGCAAGGGAACCAAGGTACGCCTCTGGTGGTAGGGAGAGGAATGGAGGTGACCCCACCCCTATTTGAATCTGGCCCCACCCATCCATGCAGCCTCAAGAGCAAAAAGGCTGCCCTTCCCCCTGCTTTAGGAGATGTGGAGAGGACGAGGGATGGATAGAGCGAAGGAGGATGCTTTACTCACTGACCTGGCCTTGAAACATATGGGGGAAGAAAGCCCCACAGAGAAGGTGGGAGCAGAGCAGCTTAAGAAGTCTCCTTCTGCGCTCTCTGTCCCTCCTTCCACCATAATAGGCACCTGCTGGATCTTTCCTAATAATGAGGATAAACCCAAAGGTCTAGCAATGTTCCTTTTGCCCTTTTCTGTTAATGATCATATTCTCACTGGGCGCCAACTGAAGGTACTTTGACCTGGGATTTGTAGAGGAGGCTGAACCTGCAGGCAGGTGGAATTTTCACCTGCTGTACATGGTAAACATAGAGGAAATATTTGTCACACTCCCAGAGCTCCTCGGGTGTGTTTTTATATCAAGTCGTTTTAATAGAAGCATTTTATTCCAAGTCAGGTCAGTGGCAATTAAACAGATATGTTTTGTAGTGAGCTGCATCACAGAGTGGTTTGATTTGAGATGTACTGTAACTGACACGACAGGGTATTAGAAATTAGTGGAGTTTCCAGTCAGGCGAATGTGTCACATTAAATCAGTCAGAGCTTTACTGTCCAACAGGTGGTGCTAGAAAGCAAGCCATCTAGCACTGCCCTTCAGAAAAAACTGAATTTAAAGGCTATGGATAAGCAAATATTAGCCACCAGAGGATTGTCTACTAATGTTCAAAATTTTAAAGAGAAGCTGGAAATAGTTTATGCAGTGCTTTAAATAAAAAGAATCAACAAAGTGTGCTGGGTCAAGGCTGTTTTCAAATGGTTACTTGGGATTTTCTGTTGTAGGGAAAGGCTGCATATTTCTTCATCGGTTGCTTGAAAACTCTTGTTTCCATTGAGAAAGGAAATATCTGTTCATATGAGGGTTCCTTGACTAAACAGCGTGAGGGTGCCTGAAGGGAAGCTGCAGAACAGAGCCAAATTGAAAAAGAATCCAGCTAAATCAGCTCTATCATCTGTTTGCCTGCTGGGTCTCAGACAAAGCCTTGGAAACTTAAATCCCCAAAGTTGAAGCAATAAACTATAGCTTTTGATCAATTTATTCAGTGGCAAATGCCACTAATGCAGCTCCTTCGGGTACCAATGGAAAGGACTCCGGAACATAGCACCCAGGGAGAGGGGGAGATGGATTGAGAGTCTAGGCTGAACGTCCAAGAAAAATGTTCTAAAAAATGCAAATGGCTACAGTGCTGGGCATTTTATTCATCAAGATGGTTCTTAGGCTTGGAGACTAGATTCCCAGCACTAATCCTTGGAACGGCAACTATCTCAGGAGGTGACCTTATCCCCATGAGGCTGTCCAGGCCTCAGTTATGAGGATAAGAATATTCAGCTACCTCACTGGGGTATTGTGAGGATAAGGAGTCTCAAATGTGGTAAAGAACAGGGCCATATAAGTAAGAAGACATATGAGCAGAGCACAGGGCTAGAACACAGGAACCAACCATTATTGTTTTAGGACTGGGTACATCTAAGGAAAGGGAGTGCAATTGCCTCCCACCCCTGTTATTTGTAAGTTGGGATGGCGGCTTTCTCACATCTAGTTTTGTTGTAGAATGGTTATTTAGACCTTTGTCCAAATGTATTTAGACATTTGATACAAGTGTTCAGAGATTACAGGGATCATATGCTTCAGAAATGGAATACTCTTTCAGCAGTGAGTGAGTGATAAAGAGCATGGGCTATGAATTGGTAAATTGTCCATGAACTCACTAGGTGGTCTCGCATCTTCAGTCCCCACACATCAGGGTAAAAATACTGACTTTTGTTACAAGGTTGTCGTAAGAATTCCTGAGACAGTGTATATAGAGTACTTTCAACTAAAAGGCTACGTCTTATGAGGCAATAATGCAAAATGTTTGTTTAGTAATTCAAGAGGTTTCTCCTCTCATACTGTATTCCAGTTAAATTGGAATATTCATTTTTTGTGTGCTAGCTAATTAGGTATAAAAGCAGGGAGCTCTGGTGCCAGTCACTGAAGGTCCACCTCTGCCGCTAGAGTGACACTCTTGAGTTAGAAAAGTGCTTTCATGTCTGAAGAAGAGGGTCATGCAGGGCTGTTGTGAGGGCTGAAATTACAGTATTCCATCTTTCAGATGATAAATACACCATTAAGCATATTTATGTAAAGGTAAATTAACCGGAGCCACCAGAGTTGAAAATTCTATTTTCTCCTAATGAATTGGATACATGCAGCTTTGAAACTAATGTAAATTACTTCAGTGGAAAATACAGCCCACATTCTTCTTCATAGCTCAGTGTACATGAAATCCACCATCTATTATAATTGGGGGGGAAATGCCACAGATGGTCTTGTTGGAGCCCTGTCTCCTCTCGGTTCAGTTTTGAGACTTTTTGTTTTTCAAATGTCTAGTATCACTGTTTAGGTGATGCAGATATAATGCTCCCTTAGATTTTACTCTGGCACCCCTGTGGCTTGCTTTTTAGGTGTCAAAGAATCAGACCTAACAACACTTTGGTACTGATTAGTGTGCTATTTCAGGATTAGTCATGGAGGACTCTGTAAGACTGAAATCCTAATCATACTTACTTGCTGGAAGTGGGCCCCACTGAAGGCAGTGGCACTTACTTGCGAGGAAACATGCAGCGATAGTATTGCAAAGTAAGCCACATTTGCCAGCTTAAAATGATTAAGAGTTCCCTAGAGGGACCTGGTGGTTCAAATAGAGAGCTACAGTATCAAAATTCTTGCCCACCCTTACAGCATTTTTCACTGTTTAACTTGCCATATTAGGCTTCATTTCTTAAGCAGAGTTTCCTAAATTGGTACTGTGATCAATCAAAGGGCTTATAGGTGGCGAGATGACGCTCTACTTAGTCACTCAGGGAATGTATCCAGCTGGGTCTGTCCCTCTGGCTTCATTCCACAGGCAGACGGCTTCCTTGCAGATCACACTTTGAGGTAAAATCCTGGGCAAAATAGTGACTGCATTGCATAACATTTAATGCCAGCATGCAACAACTAAACGGTGGCATGCATCAACTCTGAAAAAGTAAAAACTCTCAAAAGGATTTTCATGTCACTGCAATTTGCAAATCATGAACCACAGAGATGAAAGATGTAGTCACTGAAACATGTCAGCTTCTCTTTTAATCTCACATCCAAGTTTGAGTCTGACCCAATTTTAAAGCTTAAAGGAAATGAACTGGGTTGCTATTTTTCTTTCACATCAACAATAAGCAAAGCAATATATCCAGAATGAATGGCTAGTCAGCTGATAACTATATATATATATATATATATATATATATATATATATATAATAATAATTTCAGAATAAAAATTGCACACTAATTAACCCTTATTAAAAAGGAGGGAGATGTGCTTAATTTAATTAATTGCAAATCTGCTGTGAATTTTGTTTATACGATTTTTGATTTATCTGACAAGGTAAGCACAGACAAATTTAACTGAGAAAGCTCTGATTCAGGCCAAATTGAAATAGATTAGACACCAGAATCAAAAACAAAAACACCGCCATAGGTTTTTGTTTTCTAACATGCCAAGTTCGGCTACTGAAATAAATATTTGCTGTGCCTTTAAAAAAAAATACACATAAGCTGTAAGTATTTCAGAAAAAAATGCCCCAAGCCATAAGTAAGACCAGCCAAAAATACTCTTCCAGATTTGAATAAGATAATGCACCTGTTTTTTCTAGCTTCAGTGACCACATAAGTCCATCCATTTACCTTGATGCTGGAGAGATCAATTGCTGCTTCTTTGGGTTTTGCTGGTTCTGGTGCTGGTGCTGGGGCAGGTGCAGGTGCAGCGGCAGGTGCAGCTGCTTTCTTGGCATCTTTCTTTGGTGCCATTTTCTTTTCTTTCTTTTTTAAGTTAAAAGGTGCCCCAAAAAACCCTTATAAGAGATTCCTGGATGAGGAGCAGCAGATGGTGGGGATGATCTACAGCCCGGTGCCTTGGAGGTAGACCCAGTGTGTTGAACACCATAAGGGCATATATATATTTCACTTAGTGCCTAATACAATCTTGACACTTGCAGCTGGATTGGACAGTTTGCTAGTCAAGGGGGATGTCATCCGAGTCAGGCTATAAATGGAATCTAAGGGGGTCAGACCTTCATCAGATTCAAGGGGACTTCTGTGCCCTTTTTTAAAGCCTCCCAAACATTTTTGCAATAGATGAAAAGGAGGGAGGAATATGACAAAGCCAGTTTCAGGTCTCTCGTTGACATTCGTTCAAGTGTAAGATTGACTGACACTTTTTTTCTTGGTAGAATTACAGTTCTGCTAAAGTTGTAAATCTTATTTTCCATCACTGTATGTCATTATGGGGGGGATTGAATTTCCATCTGGAATTTTGACTTTAAGGGTTGGGAAATGATCACCAGTTTCCATCTCCCCCTCCCCCCTCCCCTCTTTCCTCCAGATCATGTCCCCTCCTCTCTCCTTTACTCCTCCTCCATTTCCTTCCTTTGCAAGATGAAAATGTTGATCCAGCAAAGAGTATGGGGGGGGTGTGTGTTTAAAAATAAAGGCAGGCGTATATGGAAAACCCATCCTGCTTTAGCCTCTCTCTCCCCTCTCTCATTCTCTCCAGTCCAAGATTCTTCCATCTGTTCTTATTACTCTTTTAATAAAGCTCAGAATCTACAATAAAGCTACTCTGAAAAGCCAGAAGCTCTCCGCTTAATCCAATTTCATGTATTGTTGGCTGACATAACCAAGCCCAATTTATAAAGGAGACAGACATGCCACCTAATGTATTTTCCCAGAAAGGCAGGAGACTCCCTTCCCTCACAGCATTTATAAAACCAAAATAGCTATCAATCAATGATAGCAGTTGTGTTTATTGTTTCTAATTTAATTGCCAGTCTTCTGTCACGTATTTAGCTCTCTTCACTTCCAGCCTCACAGAGACCTTTCCCCTTCTCATGCTCTCCCGTTCCTTTCCTGAGCAGACAAGTGTTAAAGCTCTTATTAATCACTTCTGTGTTACTCAGAAGGGCTCTGCTCTCATTGTTAATTAAACCCATATTCGGTTACTATACTCTTAGATCCGAAGGATTTCTGACCTCTGCAGCCATCTCAACTGTTGCTTACTGTGTTGAAAATCATTTAGATAGATTTCAGGATCCTGGTATCTTTCCAATAATAAACACAAAGCTACCAATAAAAATCATTTATATCCTTGCAGATTACAAGTTGGGTTGTATTAAATGTAGAAAACAACTAAGTTTCAAGTTAGTTACTTTCCATATTAATTACTGAACTTCCCCTCCCGCAGTAGTTTGGTCCTCTTGAAAGTGTGATCACCTGTTTATCTGCCTCAGAGGGGTTTACCACACATTAGAAGCAGATGTGGCAAAATGATCAATTATTTGGACTCATGGTAACCTTAAAACATACCCACACTCTTCTTGGGCGAGGGCGGGGGAATGTATCTATATTTTAAGGAAGAGAACAGCTGGGAAATGGTCTGACATGGCTGCCAGCTGTATTTCTGACTGTCTACTTAAAATATTGTCCACCCATGACTGGAACCGCCTATATGGAGTGCAAAAGGTCTTCATTTAATTTTGTTTTCTAGTTTTTGGTCACAATTAGGCCACATAATGTAGCCTAACATGGGGTCACACACACAAAACCTATTTGGTTTGTATCCAATGCTGCTGTTATGTTTGCAAAACAAGACTTCTTCTTGGACAATGGTACTGAGCCTTCTCTTTCCCGCAGCCCCCAACCTCTCCCAGGGTGTTGGAAGACCCTTTGGGCACACACAGGGAGAAAAGAGGAAGGGGAAGTATCCTGCTCCATGAGTTTAACTCTGCTCATGCAGTGTTAGATGCAACCCTTTCTGATGTTTTTATTTTTTTTATTTCTATCCTGCCCTTCCTTCCAAAGGAGCCAGAATTGCAGGAGGACTGTGCTAAACACTGCATTTGTCCCTGGTTTATTAAAGCTCTGTACATTTGCATAACATTTAGTTCACATTACTGTGAATCTACACCTTGCAGAACTGTGGTTTAGAATTTGCGGCAAGCCAGTATTCTTCATAATGACTAAGGGTGATATTCAACTACATTTTTGCACAACTTGAGGAGGATTCTGATCTCTCCTTCCACCCCCCCCCATGCCCAGTGCTATACCCAAAACTGCTCTGGAAGGTTGGGGGAACCCCAGGACAGATTTATAGAGTGCATTGGGGCAGGGAGGAAAGGGGGAAGTGATTCCATTGAAGCCACATGCCTAGCACTTCGCTGAATACCATCTATAAATGAGGTTTGCACATTGAAGTTAAAACAACAATGTAATGGGATTATCACCTCCCAGTTTGACTCCACTTGTTAGGTAATTGCCTACTGTTAAGTAGTAGCCCAAGAAAACCAATCTGGAATAGCAGTTTAACACATTGAAATATCAAATGCTAATTAGAATGACCTATAACCGGCAAAATCCAAGAGGGAGGCAGCAGTAGCATAAGACTTTTATTAGAACCAGCTAGAAGTCACAAGGCAGTGAACTAGCTTTGAGTTTCACAAAATTCTTCCTCAGGCTGGATGTTGAACAAAAAATGGAAGTGGGGGAATGTTGTCTCAAAAGGGCAGAGCAAAGGCCCATCTGTAAAATGGGACCATCTTAAGATGGTGTCCCAGACATGCAACCTGATCCTTTGCAAGTTTACTCAGCAATAAACCCCACTAAGTTCAGTTACTCACAAAGTAGGTCAAAGAGCAGCGCCAATCTCGAGACAAATAAACATGTCAGAAACCATCCTCAAAGCCCATTTCATTTTCAGCTTTCTAAAAGCTATTGGTGATTATATATGTGGCTTCTTGGATGTGTGAAAAGGGCCCATACACAAACCAGACAAAAATATATACGAACAAATGCTGCAAATCTGGGTTCCACAAAGAAGGAAGAGACTGCTTTGCAGTATGCATTAGTGTTGTGTGTTAAGCAACTGAGGCACAGGTTTAGGTCCCACAAGGTTTATTTAGAAAACCAGAGCTTGTTTTAACACCCCCAACAACAACAACAACAAATCCTGGATAGATCTAGAACTCTATGGCCTGGGCAGTTCTCCTTCATAGGTTCTGCTCATCCACACTACATCTTCCAGCAAGCAGTGCTCACAGTTGCATTGCTTTTCAGGCAAGGCTGTATCTTAAGATCACCAGAAACAATTAATAGAGACTAAAATCAGGTGATGCTTTTGAATTCTGGTGCTGGAGGACACTCTTGAGAGTCCCATGGACTGCAAGAATATCAAACATATCCATTCTTAAGGAAATCAGCCCTGAGTGCTCACTGGAAGGACAGATTGTGAAGCTGAGGCTCCAATACTTTGGCCACCTCATGAGAAGAGAAGACTCCCTGGAAAAGACCCTGATGTTGGGAAAGATGGAGGGCACAAGGAGAAGGGGACGACAGAGGACGAGATGGTTGGATAGTGTTCTCGAAGCTACCAGCAAACTGCGGGAGGCAGTGGAAGACAGGAGTGCCTGGCGTGCTCTGGTCCATGGGGTCACGAAGAGTCGGACACGACTAAATGACTAAACAACAACAAAATCAGGTGAAATGGAGGCACTGTCGGTGGGTGGTTTCCCAAGTCTGGGAAGTATGGAGACTGTTCTAGATGGGGTTGCATTTCCATGAAACAGCAGGTTTTATGTGAGGCTGCCATTGAAGATGTTCCAGAAGTTGCAGTTGGTAATGTATAGCGCCTCCAGAATGCTGCACAACTCACCCAATTCAATTCATATTGAATCTGTTTTCTGTGATCTGCATAGGCTGCTTATATACTTCCAGTTCAAAATGTAAATGTTGACTTATAAATCGCTAAGTCATTTGGGGGCCAAATACTCTCGCTACAGCTGCTGTCCTAGGCCCTAAAGTTCTGCAGGGAAGGTCATTCTCATGGTTCCAGTGGGCATGGTCTTTGTGGTGGTGGTCTTTGAACACCATATTCCTTGAGCTATGTCAAACTTCTTTGATATAGGGTTTTCAGTGTCTATTAGAAGCACAGTTTTACTTGTACTTATGAGGTTGTGCTAATGGGTGCTATATTGGTTTCATGAACTGGAAACTCTTGGTTTTTAACATTTTGATGTACCGTATTGTGGTTTTATTGGTGTCAAGTATATTATTCAGTTTTTAATATACTGCAAACCACTCTGGTTTTTCATGAAGGCATGTCTATAAATGGAACAACAACACCCAGTTTATCTGAGAAAGATTGACTTGTGGTGCCTCACTCAATGTATATGGCCATCTCTGGCCCTGAAGTTTCCATTAATAGTCTAAATCCTACAAAGGTAAGTTTGCTTAAGCTCCTTTAAATCAATTGGCTTAAACATGCCCACACTGTGTTGCATTTAAGCCAATGATCCCATATAACTTAAGCCTCTCTCTTAGAAAGCTTTATACACCCAACCATGTATCATAAATTAGGCAACATGTGCCCCAGAGTGAATGATAGCTAAAAGGCCAGTGCGCATGGATGTGAGAGCCACTTATCAAGCGAGACAGTCTGGTAGCAGTTCAACAGGTAGATAGATACGTGCAAGCCTCAGTATTATGTATAGTTCAATAATTTATGGCTCACTTAGTGAGGTGTTTCGAAGCAATCTTGGAAATGATGCAGAGGTGAAAGGAAGGAGAAGAAGAAGAAGAGTGGGAAACATAGTGACAAACATGATTTTTTAAAAAACAGAGTCAGATGGCGAGGCAAGCCTTAAAGTGAGGAAAGACTTCATAACACAACCAGTGTGTCATTATTATTCATATTATAAAGAAATAGAAAGCGGAAAAACACACGTTTGCCCAACCCAACCCAACTCCGATCACTGTTTTTCTTATTTTACAATTGAGAACTCGGGATAAGAAAATATTTGGATGTTTTTATAAAGGATGTCCCAAGTTTGTACATCACAAGGGATGCCTCCACACACGCTGCAGATGTTATTCTCAGCATGGCAACTGAGGGGGGCAGGAAGAGCAGCACAACTCCAGGGCAGGGCTAAATGGCAAGCTTTGCAGCCTATTTCACCACGCATGCCATCTGTATGTGAGTAACATGTGAAGGTGGCATAAGGATTGGATTAGAATGATGTTAGTTGCTGCCAGACTTGTCATAACACAGCTGTGGAAATCACTGTTGTGGAGAAGCTTATGCATCAAATCTGTGCCGTCAAGGGACA